TGCTGTCCATGATGTCATGGATAGATTGAGAGCAGACGCCATCTCGACAGACGACTCGTATAAATACAGCTACAAGAAGGAGAACCTGTCTTTTAAATATAGATATGGGGTTCATAAAGAGGCTTATGGTGAGTAAACTCAATCTAGTCACCTTAAAGCTACCATGATTTAATGTCAAAAATCATAATTGATAAAATTTATAAAACTAAATGCAGTTGCCCGTCATAACTGGGTTTTAGGTTGTTGGCAGCCATGTTTATTTCAACTGCTTGTAGTTATTATGGCTGACTAATAGCAGACAAGCAGTCTTAATTTCTTGTTTTTTTACTTTTCATGAAAGCATGATAGCTTTAAGTAAGTTATTTATGATTAATCATTATTGTTGTAGTATATGAACAGCCTAATGATGTGGAGGTAACCGCCATTGTATACCAGGACGACCTGACGGATAGTTTGGCTTCTGGGCAGACGGGCTACATTATCCTCGACAAAACTCATTTCTACAGCGAGGCTGGAGGTCAAATTGGTGACAGGGGTCAAATTTTTACACAGGTAATTTTGGGATGAAAATGAATTAGTAAAAATAAGCAGTAAAAAGACTGGATGTAGTGTGACACCCCTGAACTTTCTATTGGACTCTTCCACACATACATTTCTTCTATAGATATGAAACTGTTTATGTATGATTGGAAGAGCTCATTTGTAAAATTAGGGGTGTTTTTTATCCTGTCAAATTATATCATACCACAAAATGACATTAAAAAATAATTTTTGTTTTCTTTTTTTTGTTCTTTAAGATTTTGAAAGATTTGTTGAATATTAATTTAAACTCATCATGAGGCTCAAAAGGGGAACCACTCTCATTACATAATGACTTCAGACCACAAAATAACATGGAATTTTTTTGCTTCATGATATTCTTCTTCTATGATATTTTGTCTTTTTCAGACTGGAAAAGGCGTAGTTTCAGATGTCCAGAATTATAAAAACTATATTCTACATCAGGTCCAGGTCACAGAAGGTCAAATCAATGTCAAGGACGTCTGTAATTTAGTTTTAGATGAGGTAAATGAAATAATTTTT